CCCCGAGGACAGCCAGCTCCCTGGGGGGACATGGGGCAGGAGGGGCAGTTGGCAGCTGCTGTCCCACAAGAGCTGGGGCAGAAGCAAGAACTGTGGGGCAGGGGCAGCTGGTGCATCACCCTGATGGGCAGGGGCACAGAGCAAAGGGGCTTCGAGTCAAGAGGGGATGGCATGGGACCTTCCCTGCATCACCTTGGATGGATCCTTGCTGCTCGTCATCAGCCCGGCCTTGAGGCTGGAGGGGGACACAGAGGACAGGCAGTTACTCCCTGGGACATGGCAAGCGGTACCCCCAGACCCCCCCCGTGGCTCCCACAGCCTCTCAGGGGTGTCCCAGGGCTCAGGCATGCCCACGGGGATGGGGGCCATCCCCTGCCCACCGGCTGCAAACCCTGCAGTCACCAGCTCATGTTGGATGCAAGGAGAGACCAGAGGGCTCCCGTTACTTCAGACGGGGGCCTAAAGCGCCCTTGTCCTTGACCCAGACACTGGAAGGGCCACATCCACCACTGCAGCCTCAGAGAGGGGACTGTCCCCCGCTGTCCCAGGCCAGCTGCGTGCTGAGCTCCCCCTGTACGTACTGCATGAATTTGCACTTGGGTCCTTCTGGGCAGAAGCCGACGAGGTAGTTGGCACACATCACCCTCCGCGTGTGCTTGTACTTGCACAGGGGACCTGCCGCGCAGAGGAGAGGTTCCTGGTTTTGGGGACACAGTACCACACCCCCTGCCCCACAGGCATTTTGGGAACCCACCTTTCCCCAGCAGCCCCGTTTCCCTTCAGCTCTATGGGGCCTTTGCCACCCTCAGCCCAAATCCTCACCAGACACCCACTCCCCAGACAACCCACTGGGGTTCACCCCACTCTGGCTCAATCACCTCAAAGGTGGCAGGAGATCGGGCCAGCAGTAGGGTGCAGACCCCCCCTCACCCGTGGGTGGGGAACACGGGCAGCCCCTGCTCACCCCAGCACCCGCCGTGGCAGCTTACCGTGCCTGCAGAATCCACGGTCGTACCAGGGACAGCCCACGGTGCTGGTGGTGGCATCAATGTGCAGGAAGGGACAGTCCTTGTTGCTGCACTCGCCTGTGGGAATAAGGGGTGGGACAATGGTGGCTCAAGCCAAATGCAATGGAAAGTGCTCCAGGATGGGCTGGGTGCAACAGAGGTGCCCCGGGAGCACCCAGGCTTGGCCCCGGGAATGGTGGCCCCGGGGTGGGTGCCAGTGGCATTTCTTCCCACAGACAGGAGGTGGCATCAGGCACTTGCTCGAGGCCAGACCCGAGGCAGATGGGTGCTGGGGTGGGAGAGGCTCGCTGGCATCCGTATCCGGCACCTACCGAACTTGGAGTAGAAATAGCACTCTGGCATCTTGGTCGCGTCGTACTCGTGCAGGAAGTCGCACCCGTCACCTTTCTTGCAGAGCCCGCGCAGCCAGTGCTTGCACACCACCGTCTTCTCCCCGGCGACGTGCCGGAAGGGGCATCGCACGCCTGGCCCCGGCACACATCCGCTGTCGGAGCCTGCCTGTGCCCCAAGCCCCCCAGGATGTGCCCTGTGCAGCCCCTCCAGCCCTGCCTGCGCCCCAGAACCCCCCAGCTCCTCCACTTGGGACATGCTAGCAGTAGCTTTTCCGGATGCGGAGGAGATTTGCAGCACCCACTGGGTGCGCAGGGCTCAGTCCCCCAGGCACTGCCAAGGTCTGGCTGCCCCGGAGGTCTTCAAGCCCTCCCCGGTGCAGAAGGGGAAGGACCACTCATCCAAAGGGCCAGGGGAAACGATGGACTCTGAGCAGCATCGGCATTTTGGGCCAAAACCTGCCAACCCACTGGCCATAGGGCCACAGATGTGGGTGGCTCATGGAGCAGGGGGGCCCGGCTGGCTCCTTGGTGTCCCCAGGGTCTTGCAGGGTGGTGTCAGTCCCATCCTCATCCCCTCCTAGCACTCACCCTTGGTGCACAGCCCTCGGTGGAAGAACTCGCAGACAGCCGCCCCCAGCTCTGCAGGGGAAAGCAGGGCAGGGAGAGCTTCACCCGCCAGCCCCAGCCCCACCATGCCATCGAGGGCAAGCGCACCTCAGACCCCTCCGCCAGCAGTCTCCGCAGAGCTGTGCCAGAGGCACCCCCAGGGGAGCGGTGCCCCCAGCCAGCCTGGCCTCGAGCAGGAGCCCGGGGG